TTTTTTTTTGTTATTTTACGCGTTCTTGAATTGGCCGAGTGGGTCATTGCCCTTGTTTTGCAAGGTGTAAATGCGGCACCGCTGCATTTTGTAAGAAATGTGAGCCCACTACGGTGTGAACAAAGGCACAACAAATGACCTATGTTGGTAATTAATAAAATATGAAATAATGAGCGTGTTTCGAACAAGGAAGTGTCCAGGATCAGCCAGGACTTCACGGACATTACCTCCCCCACGGAAGTCACGTTGGTGAAAGGTACACGAAGAGTTGGCGAATAAAAATCAAAAGAAGAAATATTTTATTATACAAACAACGCGAATTCAACACGGAGTCACAAGAGGAGACTCAGACAAGCGCTGACTGGCAACTGATTTTTTTTATTTAGCACAAAGAAAAGTATGTACAAAAACACGAAAAATATAAAGCATGACAAGGAATTTCTTTCGAGGGATGATTACACGCGCTCTTACAAAAAAGATAGTTCTTTCGTTAATAAACATAATAAACCTGCCGATGATTGCAGTTTCGTCAAACCAGGGGGGTGCGGTAGCAGTCCCTTGTTCAAGGAAACCACAACCATTGGCAGAGATCAGGACCAACGCACTCGCAAAATCTTCGAAGCTGCCCATATCACGTGAGAACGTTTATTATGCCTGAAAATGGAATCTGTTTGTTTATCGATGAAATAATTATCTTTTTTGGAAGAGCTCGTATAATCATCCCTAAAAAAAGATATTGTCATGTTTTATATTGTTTTCACGTTTCTTTCAACATATTTTCCTTTCGTGTTGAATAAAAAAATGGCAGCCTATCCACGGAGTGAATGACGGATAGTGGGGCGAAGCATCGGTCCGTCCATTCGTTCTTGCTTCTGTCCATCCATGCGTGCGTCTGTGTGGCCGCCCGTGCGTCCATCCGCCCGTCCGTGCGTGCATCTGTTCGTGCGTCCACACGTCCATGTGTGCGTCCGTCCCTGCTTTCGTCCATGCATCCACCCCTGCGTCCGTCCATGCGTCCATCCGTCGGTGCAGCCATCCGTGCGTCCGTCCATGCATCTTTCTGTGTGTCCGTTCGTCCATCTAGTCAACACTCCTAGTACCACTATCTCGCATCTTTTCATAATATATTCCTCATATAGAAGCACCGCCATCCAGCGGACATTCCAAGGACTAAACGAGAGGTGGCACACGCACACTTTCTCACGGTTTGCGCTTCGTGTCGACTTCCCACCTTCAACCACATCGAGTTCATGGTATATACTAGTTCACATTATTCATGGCACTGCGGCCCAACGCTCGCTAAACCTTTCTAAAACCTAGGAGGTTACGCCCAGCGAGTATAACGTAGCAACCCTTTCTTGTCTTCTGTGCGTTGTTGAACAATAAAAAAATCGCAGCGTGCACGTTAACTAAAAGCCAAATTCTCCTGTCTTTCATTCCCCCTTAGCAGCCATTGGCATGTACATTGAGCACTATCTTTTATTGTTCAAAAACGCACAGAATAAATTTCTCACCGGCACCACTTTGAAGGTCAAAATGTTATACTCGTGAGACATTACTACAACGGCTACGAGGGACGAACGGGTGCCGCTATAAGGAGCTTCGCCCCTGAAATTCAGTTCCTAGTCAGCGCTTCTCTGAGTCTCCTCTTGTGTCCCCGTCTTGAATTCGCGCTGTTCTTATTTCGTAATGCAAAACCAACTAGCCCGAAGCTTCACTTTATTATAAAACATTTCATTGATTTGTGTGACCTGGGAGTCGAACCCACAGTCTTGTGGTTCGCGCCGCCCCCGGCGCTCTACACAACGCGCCACCGACGCGAACGCACGAGTACAAGCGCGCCTCGTGCTTCTCTCCAACGCCTCCTATACACTGCTCCGACACCTCCCACTCACAGTGGTCTTCGTCGGCGAAGGAGGGGTGTCGCGCATGTTCTAGAAGCAGTGACGTGGTCTACCGCGTCACGACATTACCGAGTGCCGACAGGGAGCGCTTCGGATGTTTCAGCACAACGGACGCTTTCAAATGCGTCATTGCGGGAAACTCTATATATACGATTGATGCGGAACTGCACCGTATACGCGATGATCCAGTTCGTCGGCGGCGCAGTATACGTGCTCTGTCTTTCGCGTGTCGTGTTAGTGTGACGACTCGTCGACACAGTAGTGCAGCTTTCACACGCACCAACGGCGTTTCTCCGCTGCCTGTATGCTTAGAGTGCTGTATAGCAGCGCCCATAAATACAACTGCCGCAATAAGCGGACCAGGAAGACAATAACGTCCACGCATTAGTGTCGAGTTGTGAGTGACTTGGTTTAGCGAGACATACGCCAGCAAATAGCGGGAACGCCTTTCCGCGTCCACGGCTCAAGCTATGAATTTTGCCGCCCACGTTACTGAAGCGCTGTGCGGTATATGCATGATTACAAACGTAGGTTACTCTATCACAGGGGAGCCTTGGTGTTTGTGCCGTGAGAGGACGGCGCTTTGAATAAGTGCGTATTGAGTACCAGTGTTCGTTACGTGCTTCTCGATGCAATATTTGCATGGGATTCATCCACACGTACATCAGGACATGACATGGATGTTATGGCCTGGTGTATGTAAGACACTTGAGCTACCACAAGAGTCAAGTCAAGGTGTTAGCCGTCGGGATGGAGATGTAGCACTCGGCGTCAATACGAGGGCATCCACGTGCAACGGTTCGATTGATTGATATGTGGGTTTTAACGTCCCAAAACCACCATATGATTATGAGAGACGCCGTAGTGAAGGGCTCCGGAAATTTCGACCACCTGGGGCTCTTTAACGTGCACCCGAATCTGAGCACACGGGCCTACAACATTTCCGCCTCCTGTAGCTGTAGCTGCCCAACACCAATAAATATTGTGCGAACACTCATACATCAGCGTAAAAAAAAAAAAAAAGCAGTCAACTACTCCTGCGTAGACACGGCTCAGTTTAGTGCTAGGCTGATTCTTACGACGTAGGAATCAACCATGCTTTTATTTCTTATCAGCTTCTTCTAAGCTCTAATTCGCGCTGCGCTAAGGTTGTTCAAGTTTTTTAGCAAATGAATGATATATCAACACTGAAATTTCCACGCTGACATTTCATATATGCAAACAGCTCACTAGATTATTCAACTGCCGTTTCTCTATATAATTGCCTGGCCTGTTAGACATCATACATATAAAACTTTGTGATTTTTAAGGTAGCACTTTCTGAAAAGGCATCAACACGCCAAATCAATCACGCGTTCGGGTGACTCATTGAAAACAGATATGTCGCAACTCGGTTCATGCTGAGCACGATTACTCGCGGAGTTGATTTAACTCCGCGAGTCATCGTACTCAACGTGAACCGACATGGACTACGAGAACAACACAGACATGGTAGTTAACAGAAAATGGGACCAGCAAGAGCTTTATATCTGGACGGCTTCGTGCAACCAATTTATTGTTCTATGGTATTTATTGCTTCTATGGTACGGCATCGTACGTTACTGATGACTGCGAAGTGTTCGAGTCGGTCTTATTCGCTTCACCCGACTTCCGAGGAACGTATTTGTGACTTGTTCTGTGCAAAGCGTGCCTGATTCAGAGTATTACTGATCATGGCACATCCTCCGGTATGTAAAGAAGAGTAGAAGAGACATCAGAGCGTATACTGGTGAAGTAA